AAGTAATCCCCCTGTGACTCGGCTGGATCTGCAGAGGTGGAGTCCAAGTCTGACCAAAACCAAGCAACTTTGTCCGCTAAGAACTGCACATATTCCTCAGCCTTACCCTGCAGGGAGTCCCCCGCGTCCCTCCTATTTAGGAGGGAGTGGGTTATCCTAAACAGGGCGGCTGGGCGGGACTCAGCGGACGCAACCAAGGTGGCAATATATGTTCTTTTTGTTGTCCTCAATGCCCTGATATATTCCTTGGTGCATGTTGTCAAAAGCGCTCGGTTCGGTTCGGCATTTCACCCCTATAGCTATGCCTGCAAATAATCATCTACAATGTTTGTATGTGAAGGATAGCCTCATATTCTATGAAAAACATGTAATTGTCTCATAATGAACATCAGGTGATTAGAAAAGTAACTTTATTTTTAATGGAAATCAAATTATGAAAATATGAAGTCCCCAGCTATAGTTCAATGTATCTGGAAGGCCCCTAGATAGGGAAAAAACCCAGAGGTGGGGGTTGGAGGGGAGTAGGTAATACATTTTAGATGAAGCCAAACTTGAAAACCTAATTTTCCCAAAGCAAAACTCAGTAACAATAATAAATATTAATAAGTAGACAGAAGCCACTTTAAGGTGTCCTAAGCATTTCAAAGCCATTGCTTGTATGCCCACCAGGTTATGAGAATTGGCTTCAATAACTTTCAGGACTTTTTTTTGGAAAAGAGTTGAGATAGCAAAAGCCCTAACAAAGCACTGCTTCTAAGTGGTATCAACATCTATAATATAAGTGATAGTTCTTCAGTGCTTCTGAGAAAGAATTATTCTTAAGTCTTGAAGACCAGATGGAGGCAACTAACATTCCAGATTCAGCATATGGACTGGCGGTTCACCATCTTTGATATTTGCTATGGAATTGTAGGAAAATGACAAAGAACCATGCAGTCTTTAGAATGAGTATTTAGGATGTTAAAAAAAAAGCTAAGGAAGAAAATTAGCAAGTTGAGCAACGGCTATCAGAATTAAAAACAAAGTTATAGTTTAGCCAGGTCAGAAACAAGCAGATTTGGCAAGACACTTGCTAAGTATAATTCTATTTTGAAAACTGAAAGGGCAGAATTCAAAAACTATGTATGAATTACAGCAATTATGCATTATTGGAAACAATATGGCACTAAAGGTAATGTTATTATATTGGCTCATTAATCAAATCTTGTATCTAAATATATGCTCCAAGAAAAGAGTTATTATAAATAAAGGATTTTCATTTTGGGATTGCATCTGTATATTATGACAATATCCAACTGCCCACATAAGAAGCAGGTTTTAATTTATCATATTTAATTTATTCATATTAATGTTTCTCAATGGGAGAAATAAGAAACTGATACCAGGAAAGAAGGACAAATGACCTATCCTGATTTTCAATATATTCATTTCAAGTTTCCTAGGATAAGCATCAGAGAGAAGACACATTTAATTGGGATAGTTTTCCATGCTTTCCTTTCATTGTAAGATTTACAATGCATCATGGAGTTAAATTCTATAAATGCTTTCTGTCCCCTATTTTAAAGTCCTTCCTTAATCAAATCTTCTCCCCTCTTATGACAACTTATTCCAAAATGAAACACAACAAGGCAATTATCTTGTCAGGTATTGCTCCTTTTTTCTTTCTTTGTTTTAATACTTGATTCTCACATCCAAGTGTTAAACCTGGGAACAAAGTATCGTTAATGTTAAGGCTGAAAATCTTTACATGTTTATTGCAAATTTTAAAAGTTTGTGGGAGTGAGAGTGAGACTCAGAACTGAAATTACATGACAGAAGAATGTTTAGCTTTTTCTTTTTTCCCCCAGCCTTCCTTGAGACCTTAATCATCATTCACTCTGCTGTAGTTGGAGACTTCCATTAACATCAGTGGAAGATAGCAAGTTCAATATTTATTAACCCAAGATAAGCAAAGAAATAAAGAAAGATCCTTAGAGACCTCCCTTCTGTTGCTGAGAAATACATAACAACAAATTACATACTTTAGTATGTATATATGTAAGTTTTATATCATGACTTTCCCTTGAAGCCATGGAATATTATTGGTAATATTTCAAAGAGAATATGCAAACTTTAGTTCCCACGGAGTTCACTGAACTTTCAGATGTCTACTTTGCACTGATTGGTCTATACAATCCAAGCTCAGCTTGACCTAAACAAACATCAGACTCCCCCTCCTCACCCCCAAAACCCTCCAGCAACTATGGAATAGGTAACTCATACATATAATAGGTGAGAGATACAATCTATCATGGCCACAGTCGATGGGATCTGGGGAAAATATTCAGAAACCCAAATGAAAGTACCCTGAATACCAATGAAGCCCATTGTCCACTTTACCTCCATATCATTTTATCAGTAGTATCTCAGGTCTGTTTGGAAGTTAGGTAAGAGGCATAAATAGCATTTTTTAAACCTAACAGTTTCAAGGCTGATGCATATGAATAGAAATCATTTATTTTTTTGGATTCAATGAAGTGGCTCATTATTTTTAAACTATAATAATATTTTTAATTCCAAAGATGATAAAATAAGTTGTTAACTCATAACTAACATGACAAAAAAATGGAATTAGTACCCAGACTTACTAAATGGTGTGACTTTGATCAGAGTATCTTTCTTATTTACAAGAGCAAAGAAATATAATTCAGTACAAAAGAGTGAGATATAGTTCACTAATAAGAAGCAAATATGGCAAATTGTTCTCATGTCCAGTTCCCCAAGTAATTTTTTTACCCCTGTAAACAGTTCAATATTTTTAGTACCCTGTAGGTTTTCAATTTTGTATCAACATAATTCACACCACTTCGTGTCAGTAGAATAATAAGATAGCATGAAGGCCATTAGTTGATTAATGTACAGAAAGAAAGAAGAAGCTGAATTAATAAAGGCTGTAGACAAGAATTGGAGCCCTGTTAGAGAGTGGGTAACCAGTCAGAAGGAAAGAAGAAAGGAGTTGTAATCCATCTGAACAACAGCTGTTACCTTCCATCCTTTGGTGGTTACGGTGGCCCCATTGGGCCACATGTCTGTGGTTGGCACAGGTTGGTCGCAACGGAATTTAGGAATAAATGAAGAGCTTCTCTGAAATACCTGAGGAAGTCAGAACATGGAATGTGGTTGTTTTTTACATACAGAAAGCAAAATAATGTGGATTGCTAATTCTGGTTCAAGGAAGAACACTTATCAAATTAAACCTAAAATGGAGTTTTGAAGAAGAGAAGAACTCCAAAATTGAGAACCAATAATCCAACCATAAGGCTTAGTTAAATTGCCTGTTTCAACTACTTCAATGTGGCTGTTTAAAGTATATCTATAATCAGAGTTTACACATATAATGAAGTTATGAGGACTTCTGTCTGAATTTAAAGCATATTTATGCACGACCTTTAGAAAAAAAAATACAACAATAAACAACAGCATGTATTTTTTATGTTATGGAAATTGGTGAATAACAACTTGTTTCTCCAATCTGTAGCTGAAATCCTTTTAGGTTAAGGCTCAAATTTTTACAGTGGTTTAGCCCACTGATTTTAAAATAATTTTTGAGTAGACAAGGCAAAAGGTTTATTTCAGACTAAAAGCTCTCAACATATCTATCTTTTGGCAATTCTATATATAGCCCATAAAAATGTTATTGAATTCTAACACTCTTTCAAAAGCCATTAATATTAATGAACCTAATAAGATTATTTTTTTAATAATCTGCTTTCCCTGCTATTTTTTAAAAAGTACTGGCCATGTATTGCTTTGTCTTTCCATGCTTCCATTCTATTCTTCATTTGGTTTTTCTTGTAGACCAATTTGCTCTTTCCAGTAGTCAGTATGCCTTCCCTGATTATTATTATATACTTTTTTTCATTAACCATGAAATTCAGTCAACTGAACATTCAAAAATGCATCACAAATACCATTGACTGACTATTGTTGTTGTTGTTGTTGTTGTTGTTGTTGTTATACAATTGTATCACAGCGGCCAGTTGTTTCGTGGATTTGGCATTGGTTACTAGTCGGGCCCCACCCAGGGGCCTAGGACGTCGTAACGTATTTTCGTAATATGCGTGCAGATCCAAGCAGTGCGGCTTTTTGCATTTGACTGATGGTGATTNTATATATATATATATATATATATATATATATCAGCTATCCAAAGATGAAAGCTTTCCTTAGATGGTGCTTGTCCTCTCATAATTAACAGAGAGTTTAACAACATACATAAGAACAGCTTTCGTAAATAAATATCAGTGTGGAGAATCAAAGTGGCTCTCCTATTTTAATTTCTCCAAGGTTAAGCTAGGTTCCAAATTCTTTCCCTCCTAAGATTACTTTCTCCATAAAAATTAGGTATAAGGGGGGAAAGTTTTTAGGAACTTTCAGGAATGAAATTTCTTAAATTTGGGAACAAAGAAGCCTTACCTGATAAATAAAGAGCTGGGGAAAATTATTAGGGTATGTTTGTGCTACAACAAGTGGGAAAAGATTCTATAGTAGCTTATTTCTTGAATTGCAGCATTTTCTTGAGCTATATCCTCCTGCTTTACAATTTGCAGGCTTACCTGAATTGTGGTGCATGGACACTTGGGACACTGAAGTTTGGCTCAGCTATATGAAGACTGCTAGTAGAATAGTCTATTAATAGAAAATGCAGCTAGAAGGTTAGATTGCTTTCTCCACATCCTCAACCTTCCAATAAAAGGAGTCAACAAAAATTACAGCAAAAAGAGATCTTCTATTGTGTTATCCTTCCATGAAAAGGGCAAAAGAGCATTTGAATATGCCATCAATTAAGGACCTGGAATTTTCAGCAGCCATTTTGTTGAAGCCAAATACTTTTTCCTCACCTTTACATGAGCAAATATATCATAAGAGTACAATAAGAGAAGAATCCAAAGATAATGTAGACATACACTTTTCCTTACTATAAAACGAAGCATGGTCATACATAGATGGGGACTTTCCCATTTAGTTCTTTGGATTGTTCTATGTATTTTTTATTTGATCCTAATCTCTATTAGTTTATAAATAAAATCCAGAGGCAGAAAATAAACACTCTTCCTTCTGTGTACATTTATACTTCCAGTTTCAATACTATATTTTTGTTTGGCTTTAGACAATTATTTCACTTGGAATTTCTCCCCTTTTAAATTTATATTTTATTATCTACGAGCAAATCTGTAACTGTAAATTGAAATGACTAATTTAATTAACAGATGATGCAATAAATAATTTATTTATGGCAGAGGAATGGTTTGAATTGTTTCCTCAACTTTCCCTTGGGTGTAAAATGAAGGCATTTTTCTTCCTAACAAAAATTAGGCAGGGTCTTAGTAAGGGTCACCTGCAAGAAGAAGACTTTCATTCTCAAAACCAAGATACCTTAAGACTCCTCAGAAGATGAAGACATCCACCATACAAGAAATCAATTCTATTTATAATTCCAAATTATAAAATGAATTATTTATTTAATTATTAAATGTATATGGCACCCATTTACGGATTTGAATACTAAAATAGATATGTATAAAAATTTCATTTAATCCATTTCATGCCCTTAGTATTTAGACTAATTGTTCTATTGCCCAGAATATTTTAAAATTGGCCCAGATCACAAGTCATCTTTCCAGGAAGGTTTCACTCATGTTATTATCAAACTACACAATGTTATATAATCCCCTTAACTAAGTAGAGATAACCATCCTCCTACGAAAGTGAGGGAAGTGCTGAAAAGCTTCAGTCAACTGAGGTCTCTAGGAATAATGTAACAGATGCCAAGCTGTTGTGGCCCAACAGGAGCTGCCACCAGACTCCGACAGCGAGGGGCCCTATAAGTCGGCTCTGGAGGATGTGGAGGACTCTGGACAGGGTTCCGACTCTAAGCAGGGCGCAGAGAGACTGGTTAGTCACCAGGTGGCGCCTCAGCCTTGGACCAGTGAGACAAGGGAGAGTGATCCAGAAGCCAGCAGTAAGTTGTTCCTGGATGCCCGCCATCGAAGAGCTACTCGGTGTCAGGAACAGTTGCTGATGGTCATTAGGCTCCTCTCCAGACTACAAAAAAGGCTGCTTGTGACACGCCCTTATTGCAGAAGTCAACGCATTGACTAAAGAGAACATAATTAACTTGGCAGGCTGGATAGCAATCCAAGGTTTGTCTGACTTGCTGCCAAGGTTCTTATCTGTTTGTTTGCTTGGCTTTCAGCCACCGAGATTTTGGCTTCTTGCTATTAAAAGTACATTCTAGTAAAGCTTGTCTCGGCTTTCGTTACTGGAAGGAGGAGGGGGTCAGAACACCAAGCACATTCTAGGTATCCTCTGAAAAACGTTTAAAAAGATTATGCTATAAGACTTAGTGAAATTGGACCTGTAAGGCAGCATATCTGGCATCTTCAAATTGTGTTACAGCTGTGCAGCGGCGTAATCCTCTGAAGTCTGCTACCGGTTTGGTGAGTATGCTACTGAGCGCGCGCTTTGTGTGCATGTGCACCTGAGGAGTGCCCACACAATGCTAAAAAAGGAACATTTTGAAGACTTCCGGGTCTGCAAAGGTAAATAGAACAGTAAAGGGAGAATCTGCTGTGCCATGTGATTTAGATTAGCTAGAAAGCAGGAAATCTGTCAATTCTAGCTAATATAAATCACACATCACAGCTGATCATCACCCAGCTGATCGTCGGAAATACCAGTGAACTGGTAGCATTTTTTCCTACTGGTTTAACTACTGGTTTGGGCAAATTGAACCAGTAGCATTTTGATTTTTTTATTTTATTTGATTTTATTTATGATTTATAGGCCGCCCTTTTCCCCGAGGGGACTCAGGGCGGCTTACAATACATGGGAAGGGG